AAACATCCGATCAGATCAGTCTGGAGAATATGAATTGAAGATCGAAACCAGCAGTATGATCTTACAAAGGAAATTGCATATTAATGTTAGTGGTGAGTAGATCAAACTTTCTACAAATGTGTATTCTGTCAGATTCTATAATTATCATATTTAGATTTTAGTGAACAATTAATGCTCAAATTAACACTAAAGTTCAAAGTAAATTAATTATTTATTTTAATGTTAAAGATGCACAAGGGGATAAACTAACCCCCGCACAATTTATTTAATTATTTTCTGGGGCAGATTTCCATCTGTGTAGATGTACTGCCAGTCATGTTAACAAAGTTTATTCTTTTGGTGTACAAATATCTCCATTAAGCCTAATAACATTCTCATATTTCAATGTTGCTCAATGTAATTCGTCTTTCTGAGACATAAGGCGCCCCTGGAGGAGAAACAAAATTTGTGCCCCATAGTAAACACATGACCAAAGTACTAAACAGTGGAGCTGAGGAGGGCAGAATAACTATTGTAAAATGGATATTACTTTGATATGCTATAGCAAAAGCTGATGTACAGACAGCAGAGATGAGAATAATGTAAGTAAAGAAATAAGCAACAATTATTACCCATGGGATTATATTGGTTTAAAATAGAAACGCACAGGGTATAAATGTTACAGTATTGTAGTAAATTCATTGAATCCTTCAGATTTGGGACACTTTCTTGAAGCGAGATGCCATTAATTTATTTTAGCTCACACATTCCCTTACATTTTCAGATTTGCCTGTATCATATGTCTATCTACAAAAAAATATGACTTTGTTTTAAGCAAGGTCATGTACAACTGTATGAGTAAAACATAATCCAAATTAATTAAACATGCACTATCATAAAAATTTAATCGTACATAAAAAATGAGAGAAATACCAATAAGACTTTTTCCACATGCAGTTCATTTACATATAAAACAGCACTTACTGTACATATTTTACACAATATAGCTACACAAATGCAAATTAGACTAATCCAAAAGTAAATGTAAAACATATTTTTAAACACAAAAAGGAAAAACAGTGCTGACGCCTCTGATTAGTTTTCTTAATGTTTCTTCAGTGTTTGATGTTGTCGGCTGTAAATTGGGTGGAAAAGATTGGTTAAAGCTTTGTAGAGCAAACAGTGTGGAAATTTGTATTTTATTTAATTGAATTTCACAAATTCGAAACTAGTATGTCCAAGACATTTAACGAACAATGCTGCAATAACTACATAAAAATAATTAAAATTAATAAAAATGAAAGGGAATAACAAACAATAAATTAATCTAGCTCTCTGACGTCATCATCTGATGTCATGCGGAGGACAGTAGAAATTCAGCACAACACCGGTGTGGTGAGCAGGACGGCCGAGGGACGTGAGAGAAAGTCGCGAGGCCGGTGGTGCGATTGCTAATGAGCAGCACCTGTGAAGCACACCGGTCTCGCATCTCTCACGAAGGAGCGGAGCCATAAAGGGGGAGCGACGGAGTGGATGATCGAGAGACCGGTGTGCTTCACAGGTGCTGCTCATTAGCAATCGCACCACCGGCCTCGCGACTTTCTCTCACGTCCCTCGGCCGTCCTGCTCACCACAACCGGCTACAATCTTCTTCCAAAAGCCGCTTGCAGTTTTGTTTTTTAATCACTAGAGCGCTAAAATTACATAGTGTACCTTTACAAATGTGGGCGTAGTGTATCTGGTGACAAAAAGTGACACTTGCTTGTTTCTGTCACGAAAAAAAAAAATTGTGACAGAAACAATTGCAAGACATTTTTTTTTCTTTATACAAAGCGCCATATAGGACGCTTTTGCAAAAGCGTAAATATCCAACGCACATGGCACCCTTTAACGTGAAATGGGACGCAGATATATTTGGGCAGAAGGCGCCCCCTAGTGGTCTAACCCTTACCCTACACCTTACCTAAACTTAACCCTAACCGAAGCGTCTCATTAGACGTTAAAGGGTGCCATGTGCGTTGGATATTTACGCTTTTGCAAAAGCGTCCTATATGGCGCTTTGGGATGAGAACGCGTTGATATATTTTATACCTTGGCAGGAACAAGCTTCATAGCAGTCAGATGTGATGCTCAATATTTATAACATAAATCATCTGGTTGCCTTCTGCAATTAATTCTAACTAGTGCAAAATGCCCGTGCAAAATAATGCCTGTGTGCCCGTGTGTTTTTAGCACTTGTTGGTTTGGTGCATGTGTTTCAGTGCTCAAATGAATAAGCGCGACGATTCAGGGAGGAAATCTGCTTTCTTCGTCCCTCTGCCTCTGGTCCTGTGCTGTGCTCAGTCAGTGTGCAGCATGAGCGGGGGAGTGGCCAGCGGCTAGAGCGGCTAAAGCTAATGTGTGCTTCTTTTAGCGATATATTTAGCGATATCTTTTGCATTTCTAATCCAAACAACGGCAAACTCGGCCCTTGTGCCCGTAGCAAAACACTTGTCAAGTTTGAGATCCATCGGACTAACGGTTCAAGAGATATGCGATTAACACAGACACAGACACACGCACACGCACACGCACACACACACACACGCACGCACGCACACACACACACACACACACACACACACACACACACACACACACACACACACACACACACACACACACACACACACACACACACACACACACACACACACACAGACAGACAGACAGACAGACAGACGTTCCTGTAATTTATAGATAGATGTTTTTCCAGCAGAAGACAGGCTGACTTACACTAATAATGCTAGCAATAACATCACCCCTTAGAGCTTTATGACAGGAAAAATCTTAAAACAAGCTGTCTATACACTTTTGGCCAGATTACTGCTATTGTTTTATAATGCCCAAAAAGCATGTCTTAACTCAGGGCTGCCAGTCCTGTTCCTGGAGACGCACCCACTGTAATGATCAAGTGCTCCTGAAGATCTTCATTATCTTCTTCAGGTGTGTTTGATCAGGGTTGGAGCTGAACGTTGCTGGAAGATCTCCAAGAACAGTCTCCAGGACTGGCCATTAACTAGTTTTGTGTTTGACATGCTGTAATACCTGCTGATAGGAGAGGCTGTGGAGAACAGAGAGCTTGTGAGAGAAGGAAAGCATTTTCTCCACTTGTGTTTGTTTATTTGGAATGAAAGAGAAAGACGTTATACGAACATAACCTTTGCCGATCCGTGTTATTTTTAATTCACTCTCTTGTCTGCAACTCTATGTGAGTTATTCTGCTCTTGCAGATTGCGTTGTCTTTATGGAAATGAGCTGTGATCTTTAATTTACACATTTTCAGTAGTAGATTAACCACAGAACACTGAACTGTTTGATTAAAAAAGTAGTATTCATTTGTGTAATCATGTTCTTCATGTGTGTTTGTTGCTTTGACAGGTGAAATGACGCCAGTATCAGAGAAGGAGGGAGATCCTGTCATTTTACACACTCGTCTTATCCTACATATTAATGATCAGATAAAGTGGATGTTTAATGGCCAGCTCATTCCTGAAATCAATGAAGGCACCAACGGCAGACTATATCTTGATCGTCCATCTGGATCACTCATTATCACTAAATCCAAAATCACAGACTCTGGAGTTTATCAACTGAACATGATCAGCAGCTCACACACCGTTCAGAGGGACATCAGTGTTACTGTCATTGGTGAGTGGATCAGATCTTTCAGTATCAATATCTTCTTATTTACATCTGTGAACAATTTAGATATCAAATCAACATATATTTACATTTAACTCTGATGAAGGATATCTGACAAACAAAGCATGTTAAACAAGACATTGTTTGCAAGAAATTAGAAATTTGTCGAGGAAATTTACATTATTTCACATTGTCTCATGAAACCTTAGATTTGTGTTTCTAATATTTTTTCATTAGAGAAACATGTATTAAATATTTCAGTGACAACAGAATCTGCCACATAAGAGCTTCAGTGTTTTTTTATGTTGGCATTTATGATTCTCTCTGAATCAGCCTATATTACTAATAAATATAAGGTAGTTTCACTGGATCATGCTGTATGTGATGCTTTTTTGTCTCTTATTACTCATTGCTTTTTTCATTGACAGTAATTGCAGTTATAGATCAGACACATTCACACTAATGTCTGTCTTTATCAATACAGTATCAGATCTTCACTCAGGTTATATAGTGCTGATGTTTATAGTGTGTGTTATAGATCAGACACACTCACACTAATGTCTGTCTTTATCATTACAGTATCAGATCTACACTCAGGTTATATAGTGCTGATGTTTATAGTGTGTTATAGATCAGACACATTCACACTAATGTCTGTCTATCATTACAGTATCAGATCTTCACTCAGGTTATATAGTGTTGATGTTTATAGTGTGTGTTATAGATCAGACACATTCACACTAATGTCTGTCTTTATCATTACAGTATCAGATCTTCACTCAGGTTATATAGTGCTGATGTTTATAGTGTGTGTTATAGATCAGACACACTCACACTAATGTCTGTCTATCATTACAGTATCAGATCTACACTCAGGTTATATAGTGCTGATGTTTATAGTGTGTGTTATAGATCAGACACACTCACACTAATGTCTGTCTTTATCATTACAGTATCAGATCTTCACTCAGGTTATATAGTGCTGATGTTTATAGTGTGTGTTATAGATCAGACACATTCACACTAATGTCAGTCTTTATCATTACAGTATCAGATCTACACTCAGGTTATATAGTGCTGATGTTTATAGTGTGTGTTATAGATCAGACACATTCACACTAATGTCTGTCTTTATCATTACAGTATCAGATCTACACTCAGGTTATATAGTGCTGATGTTTATAGTGTGTGTTATAGATCAGACACATTCACACTAATGTCTGTCTTTATCATTACAGTATCAGATCTTCACTCAGGTTATATAGTGCTGATGTTTATAGTGTGTGTTATAGATCAGACACATTCACACTAATGTCTGTCTTTATCATTACAGTATCAGATCTACACTCAGGTTATATAGTGCTGATGTTTATAGTGTGTGTTATAGATCAGACACATTCACACTAATGTCTGTCTTTATCATTACAGTATCAGATCTTCACTCAGGTTATATAGTGCTGATGTTTATAGTGTGTGTTATAGATCAGACACACTCACACTAATGTCTGTCTTTATCATTACAGTATCAGATCTACACTCAGGTTATATAGTGCTGATGTTTATAGTGTGTGTTATAGATCAGACACACTCACACTAATAATGTCTGTCTTTATCATTACAGTATCAGATCTACACTCAGGTTATATAGTGCTGATGTTTATAGTGTGTGTTATAGATCAGACACATTCACACTAATGTCTGTCTATCATTACAGTATCAGATCTACACTCAGGTTATATAGTGCTGATGTTTATAGTGTGTGTTATAGATCAGACACACTCACACTAATGTCTGTCTTTATCATTACAGTATCAGATCTACACTCAGGTTATATAGTGCTGATGTTTATAGTGTGTGTTATAGATCAGACACACTCACACTAATGTCTGTCTTTATCATTACAGTATCAGATCTACACTCAGGTTATATAGTGCTGATGTTTATAGTGTGTGTTATAGATCAGACACACTCACACTAATGTCTGTCTTTATCATTACAGTATCAGATCTACACTCAGGTTATATAGTGCTGATGTTTATAGTGTGTGTTATAGATCAGACACACTCACACTAATGTCTGTCTTTATCATTACAGTATCAGATCTACACTCAGGTTATATAGTGCTGATGTTTATAGTGTGTGTTATAGATCAGACACATTCACACTAATGTCTGTCTTTATCATTACAGTATCAGATCTTCACTCAGGTTATATAGTGCTGATGTTTATAGTGTGTGTTATAGATCAGACACACTCACACTAATGTCTGTCTTTATCATTACAGTATCAGATCTACACTCAGGTTATATAGTGCTGATGTTTATAGTGTGTGTTATAGATCAGACACACTCACACTAATGTCTGTCTTTATCATTACAGTATCAGATCTACACTCAGGTTATATAGTGCTGATGTTTATAGTGTGTGTTATAGATCAGACACATTCACACTAATGTCTGTCTATCATTACAGTATCAAAACTTCACTCAGGTTATATAGTGCTGATGTTTATAGTGTGTGTTATAGATCAGACACACTCACACTAATGTCTGTCTTTATCATTACAGTATCAGATCTACACTCAGGTTATATAGTGCTGATGTTTATAGTGTGTGTTATAGATCAGACACACTCACACTAATGTCTGTCTTTATCATTACAGTATCAGATCTTCACTCAGGTTATATAGTGCTGATGTTTATAGTGTGTGTTATAGATCAGACACACTCACACTAATGTCTGTCTTTATCATTACAGTATCAGATCTACACTCAGGTTATATAGTGCTGATGTTTATAGTGTGTGTTATAGATCAGACACATTCACACTAATGTCTGTCTTTATCATTACAGTATCAGATCTTCACTCAGGTTATATAGTGCTGATGTTTATTGTGTGTGTTATAGATCAGACACACTCACACTAATGTCAGTCTTTATCATTACAGTATCAGATCTTCACTCAGGTTATATAGTGCTGATGTTTATAGTGTGTGTTATAGATCAGACACACTCACACTAATGTCTGTCTTTATCATTACAGTATCAGATCTTCACTCAGGTTATATAGTGCTGATGTTTATAGTGTGTGTTATAGATCAAACACATTCACACTAATGTCTGTCTTTATCATTACAGTATCAGATCTACACTCAGGTTATATAGTGCTGATGTTTATAGTGTGTGTTATAGATCAGACACACTCACACTAATGTCTGTCTATCATTACAGTATCAGATCTTCACTCAGGTTATATAGTGCTGATGTTTATAGTGTGTGTTATAGATCAGACACACTCACACTAATGTCTGTCTATCATTACAGTATCAGATCTACACTCAGGTTATATAGTGCTGATGTTTATAGTGTGTGTTATAGATCAGACACACTCACACTAATGTCTGTCTTTATCATTACAGTATCAGATCTACACTCAGGTTATATAGTGCTGATGTTTATAGTGTGTGTTATAGATCAGACACATTCACACTAATGTCTGTCTTTATCATTACAGTATCAGATCTTCACTCAGGTTATATAGTGCTGATGTTTATTGTGTGTGTTATAGATCAGACACACTCACACTAATGTCAGTCTTTATCATTACAGTATCAGATCTTCACTCAGGTTATATAGTGCTGATGTTTATAGTGTGTGTTATAGATCAGACACACTCACACTAATGTCTGTCTTTATCATTACAGTATCAGATCTACACTCAGGTTATATAGTGCTGATGTTTATAGTGTGTTATAGATCAGACACACTCACACTAATGTCAGTCTTTATCATTACAGTATCAGATCTTCACTCAGGTTATATAGTGCTGATGTTTATAGTGTGTGTTATAGATCAGACACACTCACACTAATGTCTGTCTTTATCATTACAGTATCAGATCTACACTCAGGTTATATAGTGCTGATGTTTATAGTGTGTGTTATAGATCAGACACACTCACACTAATGTCTGTCTTTATCATTACAGTATCAGATCTTCACTCAGGTTATATAGTGCTGATGTTTATAGTGTGTGTTATAGATCAGACACACTCACACTAATGTCTGTCTATCATTACAGTATCAGATCTTCACTCAGGTTATATAGTGCTGATGTTTATAGTGTGTGTTATAGATCAGACACATTCACAGTTCACACTAATCATGTCTGTCTTTATTATTACAGTGTCAGCTCAACAAACCCCAGATCCAGGTCTGTCTTCAGGTGCTTTAGCAGGGATTGTTGGTGGTGTTGTTCTGCTGGTGTCTGCAGTTTTAGCTGCTGTTGTGATTTACCAATGCCGCACAATCTCTAAACTACGTAGAGGTAAGCATCACCAACAGTTCACATAATTTGGAAATAAACCTGAGTGAAGTGTGAATCCTGTTAAACAATAACAGATGAAGGGCAGAGACTGATCTACTTTGATCTGGACACCATTTGGTCACTTGGAGTTTTTCGTTCCTTGCCACTGTTGCCTTTGGCTTGCTCAGTTGGGGATATTCAAATTAATTAACCAATCATTAATACCATTGATCAGCTTGACCAAACGTGGATGTTTTTCCACTAAGAAAGGAACATTGTTATTATGTTTTGATTGATAGTGTGAAGGTGCTTTGATGCAATCTCAATTGTGAAAAGCTCTATATAAATATACTTGACTTGACCTGTGTACGGCCGTCTAAATCAATCCAATGGCGGTATTCGATTAGAGGTGAAGGTGAAGGGATGTTTAATTAAATGCTTATGTATTAACTCTTTTCATCTGACTCCATAAAATGAAAAGGTTTTTCAATGATATCTGTGCATCATTAAATCTACATGAATGTTTGACTATTCCTTTTAACTCTAATTAAAAATAAAGTCAAAGTCTGTTAGAATAATCAAATACAACAATTTATTATGTAAGGTAAATGTATTATTACAATAGACTTTATTAGATCTGCATCATCAGTGTTTGCGGTGGCCATTTTGTTGACATAGAAACCACGGAAACTGTCAGTCTGTCAATGGACAAGCGAGGAAGCGTCGGGATTATCCATGACATTATCACTGTTTTTTTTTGTTTTGTTTTTTGTTTTTTTTAAACAGCGTGATGGTGTTGTGTAATACACGGCTGTTCTAACAACAGCAATAAGAACATCAGAGTTTATACGATAAGATACCGACTGTCAGAAAACGTGAAGGGAAGGAGACAGGGTTGAGACAGTGCAGGAGAGGCTAGCTAGGATAAATAGGCTAAACTTTCAGCCAACTCCTCACATAAAAGTCTGTTCCTATCATTTTACCACAGGTTTCACACATCCGTGTGCGGTGTGTATACGGCACAGAAGCAGGACGCAAGTGCTTTAAATATGCTGCGTTTTTGTGGCTGTACCACAAACACCCCGGTACTCACTATTTTTATTAACACATACTCGTTATTTCAACAACATAAGCCAATTATTCCATGCATTACTTCTATATATTAAGTTGCTCAAGCAAGTGGTCAAAAATGTACCATGTACTTATATTAAAATCACAAACATTTTAAATGAAAACTTAAAATTGACAAAAACAACCGACTCTCGTGCCTTTTCTTTTGCACTTACATTTTAATACAAGTCTTGCATGTCACAAAGCACTTGTTTTTCCACCTCCACGAATGAGACGAGTGAGTGTCGTTCATGTTGCCTTGTTGAGGTAAATTGTAGTTTGTAGGCTACGTTATACGGATACTGTATGATCGAGATCGTTATAAATATCCGGATAGGTTACGGCTGGCAATAAGGACGGATTTTTACTTAATGCTATTATTTAATTTTGATGTGGGTCCACACACCAATCAAGCGTATCTTCTCTTGATACCGACAAGATGAAGCTCCCCCTCAACTCAAATCTGCGCACTGCTAAGGGCAGCAGGACAGATGTCATGTCAACAATATGGCCGCGGTTAACTACTTCCGGTATTTGCAAATAAGGTCTTTTTCATCAATTAATCAATACAAACCATCAAATGTTCTAGAACAAGGAGGGAAATCCTTTAGCCGACATTATGAGATACATGAATGCTGAGTCTTGGCGACACACTAGTCACAGGCTGATCTGATACAGACAAAAGCCGTGATCTCTCCACTACATTTCATTATATAGCCAGACCTCATTTCATATGTAAACATGAGCTTACAATGGAAACTTACTGTGTTCACCCCCCAGACTTACTGGGGGCTGAAGTTGACCATTTGCGAGGAACAGTGGAAATTAACATTCATGAATTTACACCTTTTGGAAATAGGACCACGCCTAGAGACCACATTCATTTGTGTGCCAGTTATCTTTGATAGGGAGCTATCAGATTTCAGCCCAGGACCAGAGATGATGAAATGAGAGACCAGGAGTCGAGAGGTTCAATCAAAGAGAAAAATTTACTGAAGAATAGTTTGCAGTTCAATTGGTAGAGCCAGCATCAAAGTCTCACGAGGAGGTCGCAAGCTAACTCGTACCTTACACACAAATCGTACACCAGTTATACTGTTTTCAAGGGCATACATTGCATAAACATTCACTTCTGATTGGCTGAGAGAACATAAAGTCTAAACAATTATATATAGATAGAAGGGCATGTTGACATCAATCTTGATAGCTGTCATCCAAGTCACGAGAAGTCCAATAATGACCTCGGGGGTGCCATCGAAAAGCGTCATGAGACCTGCTCCCCATGACACGTGTTCTGCACAGAACATTCAACATACACCAAAGCACAATGGGATACAGACCTAGCAAGATTGTACAGGTCTGAGCTCTTATTATCAGGTCAAGTGACCCAAAACATACTGATAAAACCTTCTATCCTCAGACAGAGAAGAAATGAGGGATCCATGTATCAAAGAAGTACAATTTTATGAAACAAATCACAGAGCCATACAGAAGTTGACCACAGGGGTCAGCAGAAAAACATGAATATGATGAGGGTCTTCTCTGGGCTTAACACATTAGGTAGTTTATTAAATCCATACATACCAACAGCCTGTATTTAATGTCTAGCTCAGGGCCACAGCAGATTAATCACAGACATCATGAGACATTCATGAAAGATGCGCATACATAAGAGTATACCTAAAACTATATTTAAAACACCTATTAAAAACAGGAATGATTATAACTTGATTAGTGCTTATTATAAGAATAATGTAATCAAAAAAAAAAGATATACTTATACTTAAATTGAAGAGGCAAGGGATGATTCTGACCCCAACCCTTCATCTTAAAACCCTTAACCTTATTACCTTTTGTTTTACCTATTTGGAAATAGAACACTTGTACCATTTGCACAGACATTTCAAATAATACTAAACATATGTATAAAACTTTATGATAGTAGTTCAAATTAAAACCATATAGATTCTTGTGTGGGTGTGGGTGATCTCTGCAAGAGTGGGGAATGCGGGGAAGGAGTGTGTGTGTGAGAGGTGTTCAAAAGTTAATTTGCAAGCAAGGTCCTTCGTCCCATAGAGCTGTGATCTCTTCCAGTCTTACATCTGCCTCTCTATTAGTTTGATCTCAGCAACAATTGCACCATTTGTTGTGTTATGATGTGCCCTCATTATAATGAAGATAGTAAATATTTAAAATATATTTTTTAACACATTACACAGACACACCATTAATGCACCTTATTCTGCTCTAAACAGGGGGCACCGCCATGACACGACTCCGGTTGTCAACTTCCGGTTCGAGTCTAGTCTATGCTTTTTTGCCATGTGTTTTAGATTGTGTCATCCTCACATCGCTAAACTAAATCGAAAAAAACATTCATCAAATGTGATCTGATCACGTTTTTTTTTATTAAATCACAGATAAAAACAAAATAAACATTTTTCTTTTCTTCATAACTTCCAAAGGATAGCTGATGCATGACTGCATATCTCCCTAGCATGAACATCCGACAGTTTCGATCACCCCGAGTGCTGCAGAATAACAGTACTAAAAGGTTAGGCTGGTTAGCCCTTTACTGTCTACCTCTGCTTTCAAAGATGCATAGTCTATAGGCTATATTTCTCACTCAGCCCGGTGAGGTTAGTAATGTTACGCCGAGTTTCCTTCATGAGAAGTCCTGTTTGTGTGCTGTCGCCTCCGTCATGATCATCTATCGTTTACTATATACTTCTTATTAAAACCAGAGAAAGGTTTCTTTAAAGAAAGGTTTCTTTGTGGTTTCTCTTTAAAATCTCTGTGAAAGTTTCAAAGTCGCTTTCATAACGGCCGTGTCCGTGAATATAAAACGCATGTGTAGACTGATATTTTTCTAATGTCTGGACCACCGATCTATATAATATATCATTGTATATAGATGAGTGGTCTGGACTACAGTGCTAGCATTCTATGTAAACAACACTTCAACAGGAAGTGGAAAACCATTTAGTCAGTTGAAACCGCAATGAATCATGGGAAATAGAACGGTCGCAGAATAAGGTGGATACAGAAACGTTAAAGAAGGCAGTGATCTTGAGCTATTTAACTTTACACTGAAGAGTAAATAGTGCATCATATCCTGGACAGATCCTGAGATAGAGAGGTCACACATTTCTTACAATAAAATAAGCTTAGGCATTTTATAGAAGAATAATACATATTAATAAAATTAGAATCCATTAAAACCAACATGGTATTTCTTCATACTAATTAAAAACGGTACAAGGCAAATGTTTAAAATAAGATAATGTAGATGTTTTGTCTGATAAGATTATTTAGCAACTTCAGGACAGACTAAAATTACTGTCAGAACACTTTCTCCATCCAGTATGATCTAATCTGATTGGCTGGCTTTATTCGCCTTCTAAAAGCATGTGTGTTTATCAGTATATCTGTTTACCAGATACTTGATACTTGAATCTGAGCATATAGTATCACCTATAGACTAGAAGAACTGTGATCGGCTGCTTTACATGTCTGTCAGACTTTTCTTCATATTAATGTATGCCAGTGAAAACGAAAGTTTTACAAAAGATTACAATGTGTTTGTTTCCAGCAAGGAAATCAAAATGCAGCTCAAGATGCAAAAAATATGTAAGATGTGTGATATGGATTCATTCCTCTTGTTCATTCACACATTATGACAACATTAACATCATTAATACGAATATAACGATAAAGATGATCTTGATCTCTTTTTAATTTATCTTTACTGTCAGATTTTCTTGGCTTCAATAACTGACCTTCATTCAGATATTAACCTATAATACCTGTAATATATTTAATTTAAAAAGTGAGATAATTTTATTCTATATCAACATCAACTTGCAATTAAAAATAAATATTTGTTTAGTTTTCACTGATTCAATTGTTGT